AAGTACAGAGACAGAATAATTTAGGAACCCGCAGCAGGCATACCAGTGATTGTTGCAGGTTAAGACTGGTGTCTATTTGTTAAATTGAGCTGGGATCTAGTAGCACTCTATGAAAGTCTGCTTCAAGTTATAACTGAGGTGCACGGAAGAGCTGTGAGGTGGCACATCCTTGGAATAGCTGGTCACAGTGGGGAAGGCTGGCTGAGTGGTAGAAGGGCAGGACTAGGACACTAAGGGTACGTCTAAACTACATGGCTCCGTCGACGGAGCCATGTAGTTTAGACGTACCCTTAGTGTCCTAGTCCTGCCCTTCTACCACTCAGCCAGCCTTCCCCACTGTGACCAGCTATTCCAAGGATGTGCCACCTCACAGCTCTTCCGTGCACCTCAGTTATAACTTGAAGCAGACTTTCATAGAGTGCTACTAGATCCCAGCTCAATTTAACAAATAGACACCAGTCTTAACCTGCAACAATCACTGGTATGCCTGCTGCGGGTTCCTAAATTATTCTGTCTCTGTAGATTTGCAGCCCCCAAGGTTGGTGAAGATGGCTCTGCCAGCCCACAGTGCAGGAACTGAATTTGACTGTTCCAGTCTCTGATTCCCTTCCTACAGAATTATTCCAATGCACTTGAGCTCTCAGATAAAGTGTCTCTAAGGCTGTGTCTAGACTACATGGCTCCATCGATGGAGCCATGTAGTCTAGACACAGCCTTAGAGACACTTTATCTGAGAGCTCAAGTGCATTGGAATAATTCTGTAGGAAGGGAATCAGAGACTGGAACAGTCAAATTCAGTTCCTGCACTGTGGGCTGGCAGAGCCATCTTCACCAACCTTGGGGGCTGCAAATCAAGGTTGTTCTCGCACTTCTACTTTCATGAACAGCAGAGTCATCTTAGACAAAGCTGATAGTTACTCTTAGGGCATTCTCTGGGTATTAGTAGGATCTGGCTAATCCCTTTGCTTCTACTAGATACATGACTCCCGCGTACATGACTCCCACAAGCAATTTTCTGTAAGTGGAACAACAGGCTGTAAGAGGAACATCCAGCTGCATGGGAGGAAAGGGTCTTCTAAGACACATCTGGTACCACATTCAGCTCCAGAGCACTAGAGAGATGTTCTCTGTCACGTTCCCAGGCCATGGCTGAGATTAGCATGGAGGAACAGTAACACCTAGTGGAAGGTTCAGTGTATTACAAGTTGTCATTGCCAAAGGTTTAGCTAAAAGAAAATTAGTGACACTTTCTCATGGTGAAAATAGCTGAAAGGGATTTTGGACTATAGGGGGAAAAATTACGCTCTGGTGTCAACCAGCCTCTACTCACTCATGTATAGCACAAGACTGTACAATCAGTGATCTAGGAAAAGGACCTGAATGTGGGTTTTGATACATAATTGTGCTTTGTGGTTTTGAGCTATGGGCAAACATCCCAGGGACTATATTGAGCTCACCAAATACATTTCACTTTTGTCTTACTCCATATTTGAGCCCTGATCTCCAGAGATGAACAACAAAATACTTTAACACAGTGCCTCTCTTATGCTTTGGGTGGCTTGGCTATTCCTTTTAGCCATCAAGAGACACATAGTGCTCTTTGCAGTCACTAGCTAAACAAATGGGAAATGAATGCCTTGCAAAGCAATACAAATGGATTCTGTATGGCATTCCATCAGCCTCTGTTGACAGCATTACAGATCTGACTGTCTACTTGTCTGTCTTCAGCTCTCTTTCTAGGTAACTCCCTACTTCCTTTGTTTCATATCACACTTCTGCTCACTGAGGGTTCATCTAGACTAAAACTTCACTGTGTTCAGGGAACGCCTGTGCTCTTCTGCTTTTTTGTTTGCAGAAGTTCAAACACTCTCTTTCGGAAGCCCTGCCTTCCTCATTCCACGAGGAAGAAGGGCTCTTCTGAACGAGGGGGATTTTCCGAAATTTGGCCCAGTGTAAATGGGCCAAATTTCAGAAAAGCCTCTTCCAAAAAAAAAAAAATCGGAACAAGCTATGAAACGTGCGCTTTGCATGTCGCGTAGCTTTTTCTGAAAGAAAAAAACTGAAGTGTAGACCTAGCCAAACATTCAGACAATCTTGATAAATATCCTCATGCCAACCCTCAACATCCTTACAATTAAGGGATAGATACCCAGAAAAGGGAGAATTGTGGTTTAAGGAATTAGAATTGATGCTATAACATCTTTTATAAACGGTGCATAAATATATTCCTAATACATGGTGGCTACATCTAGACTGGCATGATTTTCCACAAATGCTTTTAATGGAAAAGTTTTTCCGTTAAAAGCATTTTCAGAAAAGAGTGTCTAGATTGGCACGAACACTTTTCTGCAAAAGCACTTTTTGCGTAAAAGCGTCCGTGCCAATCTAGACGCAGTTTTGCGCAAGAAAGCCCTGATCGCCATTTTCGCGATCGGGGCTTTTTTTATGTCTACACTGGCCCTCTTAAGCAAAAGCATTTGCACAAGAGGGTTTTTGCCCGAACGGGAGCAGCACAGTATTTCCGCAAGAACACTGACAATCTTACATGAGATCATCAGTGTTCTTGAGGAAATTCAAGCAGGCAGTGTAGACAGCTGGCAAGTTTTTCTGCAAGGAAATACTTTCCAGTCTAGACACAGCCAGTGAGTATGTCTAGACTATGTGGTTCTGTCAACGGAGCCATGTAAACTAGACATACCCAGTGTGACCAAATCATATTAAAGTGGCAATGTGAGGGGATCTTCTGTGGATATAGAAAAGCCTTATTCTGTAGCAATGTCAGTCCAACAATAACGCCCTGCCCACAGGTGTCCTGTGAAAAAGTTAAGGCCAGAGAGGGAAAACCTCCAGGGTTAGTGTACTTGTTCGCAAGGCCATTCTCCAAGTCAAAAAGGGAGAAACAGCAGAAATAATCAAAAGAGTGCCGAATCAGCTGATTGTTGGCACAACACGGTGGCCATTTTTATTTTAATGAAGCGGGGATTATTTAAATCCCTGCTTCATTGACTATGTTGGGTAAACTAGTTTACATGGCTCCGTTGACGGATCCATGTAGTCTAGACATACCCAGTGTGACCAAATCATATTAAAGTGGCAATGTGAGGGGATCTTCTGTGGATATAGAAAAGCCTTATTCTGTAGCAATGTCAGTCCAACAATAACGCCCTGCCCACAGGTGTCCTGTGAAAAAGTTAAGGCCAGAGAGGGAAAACCTCCAGGGTTAGTGTACTTGTTCGCAAGGCCATTCTCCAAGTCAAAAAGGGAGAAACAGCAGAAATAATCAAAAGTGAATCCAGGCCAAAAATGTTGGCTCCTTTGCTGAGCTGCACAGTGACCCAGTGTGAAATTCTTCCCCCCATCCCTCCAAGAAATGATACACTTGCTGGACTTCACCATCACCTCTCTGCTGCCCTACGCTTCCTTCACAGACCTCTGAGAACTTCAGATGCTATCTGAACACCTAGATCATTATCTGGAGGATTTTTTATGAATGGGGGAGTCACAGAGGAAGAACAGAGCTGCAGGAAACAGCTAGGTTTGCTTTGTGATGTTTGTACGAGACACAGTGACTCCGGTGAATTATAAGAATAGTAGCTATGCTCTGCATCTGTAGATTTCAAAGCACTCTACAAACGTGGGTCAGTATCATTAGCATTATTTCACACGTGGAAGACACTGGGTCCTGATCCTGATCAGAATTTCCATTCACTCAATGGGAATTATTAGATATCACACACACATACACCCCCCTGGCAAACACAACACACACACACACACACACACACACACCCCTGGCAAATCTGTGTTCTTATAAATTTGGCCCTCTCTGGTCCATTATTTTCTCTGGGAAAATGTGCCATGTTTACATGTAAATGGCCTTTCCTGTATAAATATTCCTGTTAGGTCACACAAAGTGCAGTCCTTGCCAGTGCATATTTATAGTGTACAATTCACTCTTGGTATAGGCAGGTGTAAAGTCACTAACACCAGTAGAACCATGCCTAATTTTATCAGGTCTGATTTAGGAATGTAAGAGGTTAGCCAGTTACTCAATAAGCATAATTGGCCAGCTTAACTGGTAACTGGTTAACCTGCCCTGCCAGAGCAGTCTCCCACCTGCAGCATGGGCCTGGCCGGCAGGCCCCTGTTTACAGTGCAGTGAGCCATAACAACCCTGTGGCTGCAGCAGAAAGTGGCAGAGCAGCCCCCAACCTGTGGTGCGGGCCTGGCTGGCAGAACCCCAGCCATGGTGTGGCGGACCTGAGTAACCTCCCACCCATGGCCCAATGGTTAACTGGTTAAAAGACATAATTTTAATCATTTAACCAGTTAACTATTTGAATGGGTTTTTACACCCGTAGTCTGAATGCCTGAAAAATTCCAGTGGAGCTTCTGCCACTTCCATTGTCGCACTGTTGCACAATCCAATTGAATTTCAATGTTAGCAAACATTTCTGGATACCCAGTCTCCTTTGCTCCTTTTGCTTAGGACAATCATTTCTTCTGATTCTGCTTTAATTCTTCAGTAGCCAACAAAACTTGGGCAGAAGCAAACCTAAGAGCTTCAGAAGTGAGCTCTTCTTACTTTTCAAAACTTTCTGTAAGCCCCTGCATGAAATGATCAGAGTGCACTGAGACAGTTTACTCTAAGAACTCCCTGGAGTTACTGACTCTATGGAAAGATCTGGAGAAGACTGCAGTATGTTTAAATGGAGGGTGACTAGGGCAGGAGCTTTCTAACCCATCACCATCAATGTAGGAATGGACTTACTTTGTTCACAGAGGTGAATCCAAACTTTGGCCTTGTACAGCTGTGCAGATCTTTTGTCTTAACAATGGAGTCCTTAGAAACATCATATGAGACTTGACAGCTCCCAGAAACATCCTCCTAAAGCCAAACAAATATGAGAAATTGTGTCATGAAATTATAGTGTTTGAGTAGAACTTGTGGCAAAACAAACTACAGTTCACTGTACATAAATGGTGCAATCTAATTGAAACACGTTATGTAGAACATTTGCACAGAGACAGGGCCATATTTTAAAAATAAGGCCCCAAAACCACACACCTATCACAGCTAGCATAGTTACTGAAATAGAGTGTATAAAATTAGACAATTGCACACCCAAATAAATGTTTGACATTTAAATCATAGCATGTAAACACAAAAAAAGGCATGAATATATTAATGGAAATTCTGAAAAACATTATTGTAAGAGGCATTAATTGGCACAGGCATAATAGAAGAATGGGTTTGGAGAAGGAAAACCCTCTCACTCCAGAAATGGCTTTAGTAATGCACTAATATTAGGTTTCTAAACTATTTTTCTTGAAAACAGAACTATATTCTGTACCTACCTCAGTTGCTGTCCCAGAATGCAGCTGGAATTGGAGGAGACTGATGAGACCTCGTTTCAGATCCAAGACCAGGGGCCTTCCTCCTCCATCTCCAAAGAAGCCTTCAACCTATAAGGAGACATTTATGATGTGTGGGGGAGAATCCCTGATACTACTGAGAAAGGGGTAAGAACTCAGCATGAAGATATAGAGGCTACGTCTAGACTGCAAGCCTCTTTCAAAAAAGAGCATCTAGACAACAAGAAGATTTTTCAAAAAAAGCGGCTTGCTTTTTCGAAAGAGAGTCTGGATGCTCTCTTTCAAAAAAACCCCCTATTTTCATGTAATAGTGCTTTTTTTTGAAAGATGACTTTCGAAAAAATTTTCATGTAATAGTGCCTTTTTTTGAAAGATGACTTTCGAAAAAAGGCGTTATTCCTTGTAGAATGAGGTTTCCCGCCGTCGACAAAACTGCCAAGTTCTTTACTGGCGACAGAACGTGGTGGTAGTCTAGACGCAGGTAAATTTTTTTGAAAAAAGGCCACTTTTTTCGAAAAAATCCTGTAGTCTAGACACACCCAGAGATGGCATGGTGATGAACATGATAATGAGAGAATTCCCCTCTCCCCAGGCTCTCAGAAGGTGAGGGGGCAGTAAGGAGAACTTAAAGGTGGGACTTCATGGGAAATGAGAAAAACATTCATTATCCTATCACTGCACTAATACTAGGCGACAATTTCACTGCTAATACTCTTCGACCTAAAATACTAATACTCTTCTACCTAAAATATTGCCCTAGTGCCACTACTGTTGACCCAGACTGCTCAAGCCTATTGAGTTGAACAGAACTACCACACCTGGAGCCAGCAGTTTTGAAAGACTTCAGATGAAAACTGATATCCCTGACTAGCACAGGTTTAATTTCACAATAAATGTATGGCCGGGGAATCTTTTATAAAAGAGAGGCCTCCCCTCTTTGCACACACCACAAAGCAGTGTCAGTTCTACCTGGGGTACCTGGAATACTGCTCTGCTGTGAGCACTGACAAAAGAAATCAAAGTAACATTAATTTGTCCTTATTCTATGAGACAGTCACAACTGTTAATAGTAAATGTAGGACCAGTGCAGGAACAGTTACCGTAGACCACCACAATGTGTAATGATCGACAGAGTAGCAATCGTAGGACTTGAGAAGTGTGTCTGTACTTCCCTACAAGTCACAGTAGAGATGAGACGGTATGGCAGGGGTGGGCAAAAGGGCCTCTGTGGGCCGGATCCGGCCTGCCAAGCAAGCTGATCCAGCCCACAGAGGCTCTGCTTCCCACTAAGTGCCCATACCCCCAGAGGTGGGATGAGACTCTCATGCTCCCCCACCCCCCAAGCCAATCAGGGCTTGGGGGCGGGGGGAGTGTGTGAAGTCTCCTCCCACCCTGCAAGGGGCTCAGCACTTAAAGTCAACCACCAGCTGCTGCTCAGCTAGTGGTTGACTCTAAGTGTGGTGCTCCCTTGCAGGGCGGGGCCAGGGAGTGAGAGACTTCATGTGCTCCCCCTCCCCAGGCCCTGATTGACCTGTGGGCAGCAGGGGGGAACACGTGAAGTCTCCTCCCACCATCAGGGGAATGGGTACCTAGAGGGAATTGCCAGCTGTTCAGAACAGCTGGAAGTTCCCTCTGGGGGGACAAAGACTTTGTGCACTCCCCTAACCCCAGACCAATCAGGTGGAGAAGCACGGAAGTGTCCTGGCCTCGCCCCTTCCTCCTGAGGCCATGCCCCTTCCAGGGCGGCCCAGGGCCACTTCAAACATTTCTGAAGTGGCCCCCCAGTCAAAAATTATTGCCCACCCCGGCCGTATGAGTAGGGCAGGTGTAAGAATTCTTTCAAGAGTTTGTTCAAGAATTTTCTTCAGTAATGAGCTTATATGTAGCAATGACTAATACTCTTCTACCTCTAATTTGCGCACTCCTTCTACCACTGCTGTTTGGGACATCCACCTTTGATTTCTGTTTTCTAGTCTAGTCTAGTGCCCATAGTACCTTCCCCACCATAATACTGGAGTGCCTTCCACTAGTGCACAAAGTGAAGTGACTAAGTGTCTGGGCTGACAGGTGTTCAGACTCTGGGTAGGACACTTATTCCCAGAAAGGGAATGCTGCCTGCGACTCAGCAGTCCTTCCCACTAGCCCGTTACCCAACAGCCGTGATAGCAGCTGAGTGGTCCAAGGCCAGAAGGGGGGGAGGCTATCATGTAGAAAACTGAGAGCGGCAAAAATGTAAAGTAGGGAAAATGAGGGACTCCTCAGGACTCAAATAGAGATGTGAGGGGCTGTCTGTGTGTCTGAGCGTGGGGTACTATCAACACACCTTCCCATTGTTCCAGTGGAGAAAAACTGGCAGCTGAAGCTCCGCGTTGTCCTCTTTGCCCAGCACAATCATGGTGGATGGATTTCCAGTCAGATTCTGACTCTTCTCATGTTCTGAATCATGGTAGGCTTTTAGGTCTTGGAGCTAAAACCGTAAAAGGCAGATGGAAGCTATGAGGGTGCGGTTCACAGAGCATGTGTGTGTCCCAGTGCTCAGCAATTCTGGCCTTTTGACTGGAGGAAAACCAGAACGTTCATTTTTAACATCTCTCTGACTCTTCACAGACCCTGCTTTTGTCAGAAACAGAAGGGCTGTGTCTACATTGGCACCCCTTTCCAGAAAAGGGATTGCAAATTCCGCGAGGGATTTAAATATCCCCTGCGGCATTTGCATTTACATGGCTGCCGCTTTTTTCCGGCTTGGGGATAGGCCGGAGAAAAGCGCCAGTCTAGACGTGATTCTCCGGAAAATAAGCCCTTTTCCGGAGGATCTCTTATTCCTACTTTCAAGTGATTCTACTTTCAAATAGGAATAAGAGGCTTTTCTCCGGCTTATCCCCAAGCCGGAAAAAAGCGGCAGCCATGTAAATGCAAATGCCGCGGGGGATATTTAAATCCCCTGCGGAATTTGCAATTCCGAAGTCTACATTAGCATCCCTTTTCCAGAAAGGGGTGCCAATGTAGACGCAGCCTAGATGTACGGGACTGAGTGTTTCCCATGCCCATCGGCTGAAGTTAGCTTTCTGCATGTTTACTCGGTGAAGGAACTCTCAGGCAAGCCCTAACTCTGGCCTTAAATTGGCTTATTCATGTTTGGGTAAGGACAAGCCACTGGTCAGTTTCTCCACAGTCAGCATGCCCGAGTAAAAACTTCATGGGAGGAAACTGTTTGCTGTTGGAGCACAAAATGATCCAGCAGCAGCAACTCTCCCACTTCAGTTCAAAGGAAAGCTTCATTTTCAAAGGAAAATCTATTTTCAGACCTGCAGGGGACAATACCATCACATACCTGTATCTGGAGAAGCTGCTGCCCTGCATGATTTCTCCAGAGCAGGTGCACCTGAACCAAAGCTTCAGCCCGCATCCAACTTCCTCGCAAGGACAACCTTGAGACATAATCTAGCTGCACTTGCAGTGAGTAGTGGTATTGATACAGGATTCCAGGCTGGAAAGATGGTGTCTCCAAGTTCCCTAAGAAAGGAGACCAGAACTCAAGTCACCCATAAGCTTTCACTCCTCACTACACGTGATTGACTTGGATTCAAATTTATCTCAGCATATAGGTAAAGTGTCCTATTGACCTTAATGGGTTTTGTAGCAGAACCTGTCTGAGATAAACACATATTTTCTTACTCTGCTTGCTCCTGCTGCTAAGGCCTGCGTTGGTAGAAAGAACTTCCTCTTATCCTGCCTATAGTAACTCCTATTCCTGGGCCCTTCGGGATACTAGTACAGGGGTACTAGTAGGAATAAAGATTAAAAAGGACTTGGAACATACCATTATATTTGACTGGGCTTCCTGAGAGCTTGTGTCTGAGCTTTTCTTTTCCCTAGTCAGTGCCAATTTTCAATGGAAATAAAATGTAATCTGGTGAATCTGGTAGCTAAATAACAGACTCACCTTACACCAGTGGTCCCCAACCTTTCGGGGCTGCCAAGCATCCGGGGGTAGGGCCACTCATGCGCTGGGTGTCCAGGGGCAGGGCCACTCATGTGCCGGGCATCTGGGGGGGGGCAGCCCATGCTCCGCATGGGCACCGCGTGCCTGGGGGCAGGGCTGCCCATGCGCCATATGTCCGGGGCTGGCACCATGCATGTGCTGCGTGCCCGGGGCAGGCGCTGCCCATGCGCCACGCACCCAGGGCCGATGCGGCACATGTGCCACGCGCCTAGAGGTGGGGGCAGCCCAGATCATTTGGTGGGAGCACATAAATGCCCCAGTGGGCGCCATGGCACCTGCGGGCACCACGTTGGGGACCACTGCCCTACTCAGATGATAGACGTTTCCAAGACTAAGAGCCTTTAGGTGGTACTTTGCAGAAATTGCCAGTGATTTATGACCTTGTGAGAGCTTTAGCCCAGCAATAGATCTTGTACCATGATTTCAAATTTAAAAAGAAAAAAATCTGGCTAAATACGAAGAAATGCTTCCCGGTCACAAGCTCTGTAGCCTGCGGTGTAATCTCCCAACTGGTGGAACTGCCATCCAGGCATATTTAAAATCAGACTTCACAAAGAATTTAAAACACTGTACAAATGAGAGGGTAACCCAGTACTGGCAAGTGGATGGGCCAGGTTGCTTAAAAGACCTTTTCTATTTCTAATGTCTAGGACAATACTGACAATGTGCATTTCCAGATGAAGTTCGTAGTGTGACACCAGGGATGAATCTGCTCCCATGTCTGACAATTTTGGATTTCTCTCTGTCCAACTCCACTGTCACTGAAAGTTTGAAAGTCTGTATGTAACACCTTAAAAACTGCATTGTGCTATTTGCACTAAAGCCTAGGCGTTAGTGGCTGGCAGGGGAAATAATGCTTTTATCTTGAAACAACAAAATGATCTGCTTTGTCTGACTGTATCTTCCATTTTACGGAGTAACAACAACAGAGGAGAATAAACTAAGATGAATTTCTTTTAAAAAAGTGTAAAAATTAAATGTCAAGGCCCTGTACGCTCAATGTAAATTAGCCCAAACTTCAGTGAAGCTACCCCCAATTTACAGCTGCTGGGGTTCTAGTCTCAGAGGAATATCTGGGTGCTGCTGTTCTGAAATGAACAGGATGGCTCCCACAGGAGAAGCTCAACCCGGCTTCAACTGATTCAGCTTGGGGTAGGGGGATGCCCCGTAGCACTAATGGATGCTTGAGAGGATGGAAAGGGCTGATCAAAAGCTCCTGGATACAATTCCATCGCCTGACTGAAGGGTGAACTGGGATGATACTACAGCTTTTGATTCACTGCTTTCTCTGCCTGAGATGACTTGTCCCTGAGCTTGTGAAAATACTTCTTAATTGTATTGCTTTGATGTTTGAAAGAGACAATATTGTACCACTACTGGCAGGTGGATATAATGAGGTTTTGTTAGAAAACACATCATCCCCCAGTTCTGTCACCTCTTCAACCTATACAAGTAAGACACTATAGTGCATTGTCAATATACTCGTAGGCTACGTCTAGACTGGCATGATTTTCTGCAAATACTTTTAATGGAAAAGTTTTTCCGTTAAAAGCATTTGCGGAAAAGAGCGTCTAGATTGGCACGGACGCTTTTCCGCAAAAGCACTTTTTGCGGAAAAGCGTCCGTGCCAATCTAGATGCGGTTTTGCGCAAGAAAGCCCCGATCGCCATTTTTGCAATCGGGGCTTTTTTGCGCAAAGCAATACCGCGTTGTCTACACTGGCCCTCTTGTGCAAAAGCATTTGTGCAAGAGGGCTTTTGCCTGAACGGGAGCAGCATAGTATTTCCGTAGGAACACTGACAATCTTACATGAGATCGTCAGTGTTCTTGCAGAAATTCAAGCGGGCAGTGTAGACAGCTGGCAAGTTTTTCCGCAAAAGCAGCTGCTTTTGAAGAAAAACTTGCCCGTCTAGACACCCGCAAAAGCACCTGCCTTTGCGGAAAAACTTGCCAGTCTAGACACAGCCATTGTATTTTGCAGGAACAGATAAACATTTCCACAAATGCCTATAGCATAAGTCAACAATATGAGTCAACAATGTGATGCTGTTTCAAAAAAGCAAACTGATTCTAGGATGCATTAACAGGTGTGTTGTGAGCAAGACACGAGAAGTCATTCTTCTGCTCTATTCTGCACTGATTAGGCCTGAGTTGGAGTATTGTGTCCAGTTCTGGGCACCACATTTCAAGAAATATGTGGAGAAACTGGAGAAGGTCCAGAAAAGAACAAAGAGAATGATTAAAGGTCTACAGAACATGCTCTATGAAGGAAGACTGAAAGAATTGGACATGTTTAGTTTGAAAAAGAGAAGATTGAGAGGAGACATAACAGTGGTTTTTAGGTATCTAAAAGGGTGTCACAAGGAGGAGGCAGAAAAATTTTTCTCCTTGGCCTCTGAAGATATAACAAGAACCAATGGTCTCAAACTGCAGAAAGGGAGGTTTAGGTTGGACATTAGGAAAAACTTCCTAACTGTCAGGGTGGTTAAATGCTGGAATAAGTTGCCTCGGGAGGTTGTAGAATCACCATCTCTGGAGATATTTAAGAGCAGGTTAGATAAATGTCTATCAGGGATGGTCTAGGCAGTACTAGGTACTGCTATGAGAACTGGGGACTGGACTCAATGACCTCTTGAGGTCCCTTCCAGTCCTCGTATTCTATGATTCTCTGATAAGTCTGTTTGCCCAGTGGTCCTACCCCTTTCCTTGGTTGTGAGAGTGAACCCCTTGCTCATACTTCTCTGGGGTATTTGCAGTGGTCTGCACTATTTACTGTGGGTAAAGTTACAGAATAGCCCAATCATACACCTTTGGGTAGTGTAATATAAAACTCCAGGTACTCACAATGTACATGGAACCTTCAATCTGTTTCTTAATCTTTTAGAAAATGTTGAATTACAGATTGCTGCTATCATAATACAATAACATTTACTATTGGCAGCCAGTCGAAATCTGTAAAAGCTTTTTTCATTTAGTGCAGTTCTTTTCTATTGTATTCTGTGCAGGTGCTATATAACACACCATCACAGTGCTATTGGAGTGTCAGGAGATCTTTTCCTAAGGTTGATAGTGCTTAATTCATTGCCCTCTAGGGATTAGCTTCCATAATTCTGCTGAAAGTTAAAAATATACTGGAACCGGCTGTGGGACTTCAAGACCTTGTGTGGAAACTTGCAGAATAGCTCTCAACAGATGACTTCAGTCCCCTTTACATTTCCTATGCCTGTCCACTGCTGCGGGTCCCAGGGTTTTCTTCCCAGGGAATGAATTATAGAACAGAGGGTCCCCCCTATAAGTCGCCCAGGTATACATCCATTCCACACTAAAGTCGTTGACGCTTGTAGGAGCTGATGCATAATAAGTCCTCCCATTCCCCACTATAAGTCATGTGAAACACTCCCCACAATTTGCTTAAATGGAAGTCAGCCACGGGAATAAAATTCCCCACTTTAAGTTGTTTCGCTATAAATCCAAGTTTTTTGAAACATATCTTGGACTTATAGCGAGGACCCCCTGTACTGTAGCTCAGTTAAATGGATATGTTCATGCTCAGCAAAGTCTGAAGAACCCTAACAGAGATGGCTATTCATTCCCACAATACCTTAGGCAACTACTTGAGGTGAGGGAAGAGATGTGATACTCCTCCTTTCCGCCATTCTTTTGCCTGTTTCAAAGCAGCAATGATGAGAAGGCCAGCTAAGTCATAATCCCCATCCCTAATTTAATCATTGACCTAACCAAAGCCTGCTAAAATAAAGATGCTGGAGAGGTCTTGCCTCAGAATGTTTTTGTTTTTATACCTCAGCCTTAATGTTCTTTAATTTTTCATTTCATGTGCGTGTCCTAGAATGATCTGAGATCAATCTTCTTATGTATTTTATTCTTTGTATATATTTCAAGATTGATTCTGATTTTTATGATCACTTTTGCCATGAGGAATAATCAGTATAATCCAGTGCTCTCCAACCCTTTTAACCACAAAATCACTTTTTCAATTTAAATGCAATGTAAGATCTACCTCAAACCCAAATATCCTTGCCCCGCTTCCTTCCCGCTTCTTCTTTGAGGCCCTGCCCCTGCTCCACCCCTTCTCCAAGGCCTCACCCTGCTCACTCCATCCTCCTTCCTCCCCCATCTTCATTCACTTTAGCCAGGCTGGGGTAGGGGGTTGGGGAGCAAGCTCTGGTCTTAGGCCAAGGGGTTTGGCATACGGGAGGGGCTCTAGGGTTAGCCCAGAGTGGGAGATTGGGGTGCAGGAGGGTTTTCAGAGTGCAAGTGCTGAGAGACTCACATCTGGAGCAGGAGGTTGGGTGTAGGAGGATGTTCAGGACTCAGACAAAGGTTCAGGTAGCAGGCTCTGGCTGGGCACCGTTTAACTGAGAGGGCTTCTGGGTGATGGAGCAGTGGGGTTAAGGCAGGCTTACTTCTTCCCTGCCTGCACCACTCCTGAAAGCAGCTGGCACGTGCAGCAATGGCTCCATGGCGCCATATGCTGGCCCTCAACTACAGGCACTGAGCCCACAGCTTCTACTGACTACAGTTCCCCAGTATTGATCAATGGGAGCTGCAGGAGAGGTGTCCGCAGGCAAAGATAGTGTGTGGAGACTCCCTGCTCTGCCTTTCTCAGGGGCTACAGAGACATGCCAGCCACTTGCAGGAGTAGCAGTTACCTCAGGGATTATGACTCCAGTCACGACAGGTTCTGCACGTTAGAACTGACTTCTCAAAGAATTAAATGTAAGCATGAGAGAGAAATGAAAATTATGAAATGCACAGACCAGTCCAAAACCAAAAATAACCCACTTTGCAAATAGTAAAAGAAGCAACAACAAAAACAACCCAGCATGTGTTGGGTCGGCAGATGAGAGTGAAGGACAGTGTGTGTTTTTGAAAATGACAGACACACACACAGTGTGAGGCTATGGCTACGCTGCCTTTTTTTATGGAAGAAGATATGCAAATCGCGCTCTGATTTGCATATCTTCTTCTGATTCTTTTTGCGGAAAAGATTTGCCAATAAAAAGCCCCGTGTAGGCAGGGCCATTTGTAGAAAAAAACCCCCTTTTTCGCAAGATCCCTTACTCCTAAAAAAAATCAAGGTTTACAGGATCTTGCGAAAAAGGTTTTTTTTCCCCCAACAAATGGCCTCATCTGTGTGAGGCTTTTTATAGGCAAAACCTCTTCCGCAAAAAGAATCAGAAGAAGATATAAAAATGAGAGCGCAATTTGCATATCCTCTTCTGCAAAAAAAGGTAGTGTAGCTGTAGCCTGAGAGTGACAGATTTGCATTGCCAAGTCCCTCCATCCCCTTCTCTCTTGTGAAGATAGAATAAGGAGTGGGGGAGGGAAAGGGGCACCCTTACATCAGCACCCCCTCACACTCTGCACAGCAAGCAGGAGGCTCTGAGGGGGGCAGTTCCAAAGCAGAGAGTGGGAGCATCATGACAGTGAGTGGAGGGGCAACAGAACTGCCAGCACTTGAAAGCTTTCCTAGCCAAACCAGTCAAGATCATGTGTCAAAGAATCCAAGTTCTACCAGCAGATCCCAATCTACTGGATGGTGACCACTGGTATAATCTTTTATTTAGAGACATAATTGTGCTTAAAATTTTCAAAGGAACCTACTGTTCTTCCAATTCATTGCGAACTCGGTAGGTTACAGAAGCATTTTGGAATCTGTCATCTGATTCTTTAAAATGATCAGCAAAATAGGTTTTAAAACTCTTCCCAAAGGATGCCAAAATTTCCATGACTGGAAAACTCCACAGTAGATTCAGGCATATACAGGTGTAAATCTAGCAGAATTCCTGAAACCATTTTCTGTGCATCCTATGTAAGTGGTGCCTGACTCTTTTAGATGAAATTGAACTTTGACAGACCAATATTCCTAGGCACCTAGGAAGAAGCTTCTAATTACAAAGCCAAAAACTAAGTCATAGCCACTTGTCCCTTAATTCTGGAGGTGTACAAGCTGTTGTTAGTTGCCATGCTAATAGATTAGTAATTTATTGGTGAAGATTTGAGCATTTTCAGAGCTTTCCTTCAACTTCCTTCTTTGAGCATGGGACTGTAATTTTTTGCTTTAGAATTACAGTATGCCCAAGGCATTATACAGAGTTTTGTGTACTGAGATAAGCATCCTGTTTCTCAGGTGCACAAGATACTTCCCCTTTCATGTTACTTCAAAAGCTGAATTGCAAAGTCGCTTACCTTTTGCTGAACTGGAAAAGAAAAAGAAAATCAGCCAAACGTGTCCTGAAGCTGTGAGTGAATACATGGTGTGGATTGTGCGTGAGCAAAACAGAGTGCTAGAGAAAGAGGAGAAGGCTACAGAAAAGAGCTGGAGCAGGAAGGGGGGCAAGAGGAAAATACAGCAAACCCCCTTCAGAGTGGCCAGAATTGACAGGATTCACAATGTCAGGTGACCAGGCCTGACCTTCTCCCTCTCCCTGAATTACACATTAAAGGAAAAGCAAATCATTAATCCCCTGCTCCAACCCCCAGCAGCAACAGCAAAAGAATAAAAGGTTTGGAAATCACTTGGATTTTCCAAAGCCTGAAACAAGGAAATCAACAAAACCTGCAAAAAGGATTTTTTTTTGCCTGGGGTTTTTGCCTGGGGGTTCGGAAGAGCAGCTCTATCCCCTTTAACATTTCCCTCTCCCAACTCCCAGCCCCTCGCCCTCTCTACCATAAAGAAAAGGGAAAGAAAGGAAGAGAAACTGACAGCAAAGTGGCCAAAAAGCTGCAGCAGAGTCATCCCTCTTCCTTCCCTTTTCAGAGGCTGAGGCGTTCCAGCCTCTCGTGTCAGATTACTTAAAGGGCCAGGCTGGAGCAGAATAAGAAAGCTGGGCTCTGTGAATGAAGCTTATTGAATAGACTGAACACACACACACACACACACACACACACACACACACACACACACACACACACACACACGAAAGCTTTCCATCCATCTCAGGACTCTATCACAGCACTTCACCCAGTGTCCGGAAGAGATGATCAGAATTAATCTGTTTTGAAAGGAAAGAATAAAGGATTCGGGAAAGTAGAGCGTTAGGGACGGGTTAGGAGTACAGTACTATGTATGCAGTCATATGTCAGGACACAGACAAGCCACAAGACCAGGGGCTCCATTTCAGATTTTGTTGTGTGCGAGGGCAACCTGTGCGTGCCGTGATGGGGGGAAGGGAGGAGAGTGAGAGCATAGGGTTAGACTGAGGAAGAGGCTTCAGCAGTGTTACTGAGCATGCTCAGTAGAAGCCAAGCACCAAATGGAGCGGGGGACAAACCCCATCTGTCACCCACACACACATATCTCTATTCAGGGGCTACCAAGGCACTGGAAAACTACTTTTTTGGCAGACAACTTAGCAGTTAGCTGATAGGAGCACTGTATCTAATTCCTACATAAAAGAAAGAAAATTAAATATTAGACCCTGACGAAGAATTTTAATCCAAGTGTTCGGATGGGGGTCCAAGCCCCTTCCAAATCAATTTCAGACACCCTTCTTAAGCAACCAGCTTTATTCAGGAATGCATTCCAGGACAAAAATCTCCAGGATACTCTCAGGAAAGTTTTGCAACTTCCCAGCAAAAGGCAATGTCTTTTGTACTATCTTAGGGTGTGTCTAAACTACATGGCTCTGTCGATGGATCCATGTAGATTTGTTTGTTCGGCAAAGGGAAATGAATTGCGGCTTCATTTAAATTTAAATGGCTGCCCCGCTCTGCTAATCAGTTGTTTGTCGGCAGATCGGGGCAGTCTGGACGCTCCCCTGTCGACATGAAAGCCCTTTATCGACCTCCCCAGTAAACCTCATCCTACGAGGCATAATGGGGAGGTCGATAAAGGGCTTTCAGGTCGGCGCAGGAGCGTCCAGACTAGCGCACTGAGCCGACAAACAGCTGATCAGCTGTTTGTCGGCACAGCGCGGCAGCCATTTAAATTTAAATGAAGCCGCAATTATTTAAATCGCAGCTTCATTTCCCTCTACTGATCAGCCTAATCTACATGGCTCCATCGACGGAGCCATGTAGTTTAGACACACCCTTACATGGTAATCACCCATTTCCCACTGACCACTTACAGTTACACACATATACAGGTCATGCCCTCTGCACCAAACCTCCTCCAATCATTACCTACCCCCTCACATTCCCTTCTCAGGCCGTACAACAGGTTCATACCAGTAAAATAGGTTTATACCAGTTTCACCTATCCCCTTCTTGTTGCATACCTGTGACCAAGCACGTACCCCTTTACAAAGACCAGGCTTAATATCCAGGTCACACAGAGGTCATACTGACAATAAATTAATTTTATCCTTCAACCCACTCAGCTCTAACGCTAACATATTCTGACATCTTGTGGCATGTCACTTAAGGGCACGTAGATGTAGGGCCATGTAGATTAGGCACGTCACGTTAGCCTTAAAATGTATTGTATATTCTTACTTTGTTAGTAACTCTGTGGAGAGAGACAGACTTCGTCAGGACTTCTGGGCTCTATCTTAGCTCTGGAAGGGGAGTCAGGTCTAGCGAGTTACAGCAAGGGGGCAGATACATTTCAGGTCTGTATAAGAACATCAGAACTGCCATACTGGGTCCTTCTAGCTCAGTATGCTGTCCTCCAACAGTGGCTAATGCTGTTTATTCAGAAGGAATAAACAGAAGAAGCAATTATCATGATCCATCCCCTGCCCATTCTAGCTACTGTCCTCCTTGAACTTATTTTGTTCTTATTGGAACCCTGTTATGGTTTGGGCCTTTCCACCATCTCCTGGCAAAGAGTTCCACAGGTTGATTGTGCAAAAATAATGTTTTTTGTTTGTTTTAAATCTGCTGCCTATAAATTTAGTTGGGTCAGCTTCTTGTGTTAAGTTAATGAAGGAATTAATAACATTTCTTTATTCCACTTTTGCACACCATTCATGATTTCCAAGACAGCTAACATATCCCCTTACTCGTTAGTCATTTCTTTTCCATTTTCTTTTTTTCCAGTCTTGTTAATAATCAGTTATCTTATGGTAACTGTTCCTTACCCCAATCATATCTGTTGCTCTTTCTATACATTTTCCAAATCCAATATATCTTTTTTTTAGATGGGATGACCACATCTGCATGCAGTATTCAAGATGTGGGCATACAATGACTTTATTTAGAGGCAATATGATATTTTGTCTTATCTATTCCTTTCCTAATTATTCCAAATATTCTGTTAGCTGTTCCAGTGTTTAGACAGCCACTGAACACTGAATGTGTAGATGTTTTCAGGAAACTATCCACAATGATTCCAAGATCTCTTTCTTGAGTGGTATCAGCTATTTTGTATGTATAGTTAGGATTATATTTTCCCATGTGCATTACTTTGCATTTCTCAACACTGAATTCCATCTGCCCTTGTGTTGCCCAATCACTCAGTTTTCTGGAATTCCTTTGTAACTCTTCAGTCAACTTTGGATAAGTCCCTGTTTACCACTTTTTCATGAACTTTGGTAAGTTTCACAGCAGTGATACAAATGCAAACTCCAGCAGCACAACACTCATTCCTACTTTTCCTCTCTATAGTTTAAGTGGTGTACCCAGCAATGTTTTCATGATGATCCTTCAATTGCCTGCATGCCAAGCCTTTTATTGTTCTTAATGCCTCTCTCTTTTTATAACAAACTTCCTGCCCCAAAGGCAAAGCTGCAAACAGCTCAAACTCTGTTGCATTTAAGAACTGTCTCTGGAGTCAGGGCATGCAGCTTTAAGTAGACCTCAGGTATGAAATCCAGGGGTTCCAACCTCAGGAGGGGGCTACTGTCCCCCCTAGTTCCCCATAAATAGCGCCCTTGCACACATCATCCAGATCTAACTAGTCTTTTGTTGTTATTTGTCATTAGGCGCACACAACACAGAAGAAGGAATGGCCTTCACCAGAAAGAGCATAGACCAGACAAATGCATAATTAAAAAGCAGGGGAACTGTGATCTACAACCTATGATGAGAGGTCCAAGTGGTAACTAGCCTTGCTAGGTAACAAATGCTGTAATAACTTAAAAAACAACAAGTAGCACCTTAAAGACTAACAAAACATGTAGATGGCATCATGAGCTTTTGTGGGCACAACCCACTTCTTCAGATGACAGGAGTGTTAGAAGTCCAGATCCAAGAATAAATAAGTGAAATAGTGAGTAGATAAGCTTGGGGGGGAGAGGAGGGAGGTGAAGAGGAGAGAGGAGAAAAAGGAAAAAAGGAGAAAAAAATGGTGGAGGAAGAAAAAAAGAGAGACAGGGAGTAGATAACATCACCACTCCCAGCCCCAGCCCTAAGCCCTCTAACTCCCTGTCTCTCTTTTTTTCTTCCTCCCCCCTTTTTTCTCCTTTTTTCTTTTTTTCCTTCTCCCACAGTTCATTCCCTTATTTATTCTTGGATCTGGACTTCTAACATGCCTGTCATCTGAAGAAGTGGGTTGTGCCCACAAAAGCTCAAGATACCATCTACATGTTTTGTTAGTCTTTAAGGTGCTACTAGACTATTTGTTGTTTTACCCCACTGAAGCTTTTGAAAATGCTGTAATGTTAACTGTAGAAGTGGGAGTCTAAGTCACTTAGGCTGTGTCTAGACTACATCCCTATTTCGACAGAGGGATGTAAATTAGACACTTCGAAATTGCAAATGAAGCGGGGACTTAAATATCCCATGCTTCATTTGCATAATCACATCATGGTGCTCTTTTGAACAAGCAGCATTTCGAAAGTAAAACCGCGGTCTAGATGCGGTTCTGTCGAAAATGGCAGGCTTTTTCAAAAGATCCTGTGCTCCTCAAAAAATGAGTACAGGATCTTTCAAAAAAGCCTGCCATTTTCAACAGAACCATGACTAGACTGCGGTTTTACTTTCGAAATGCTGCTTGTTCAAAAGAGCACCATGATGTGATTATGCAAATGAAGCATGGGATATTTAAGTCCCCGCTTCATTTGCAATTTCGAAGTGTCTAATTTACATCCCTCTGTCGAAATAGGGATGTAGTCTAGACACAGACTTAGGGTTTATCTAGACTACGCTAGAGTGTTGAAAGAGGAACTCACTTTTGAAAGCAGAGCTTTTGAAAGTTAAAGTAGTTTAGATGTGGCTTTTTCAAATAATGAGGTTTACGTGGCTTTTTCACAAAGGAGGGGGTTCGCCGAAAAAGCCAAGTCTAAACTACTTTCACTTTCAAAAGCTCTGCTTTCACAAGTGAGATCTGAATAAGATATGCAGATCTCCTGTGAAAATTACAGGCATAATATTTTAATAACACAGTGAATATTTGTGTATGGTGCATAATCAAGCACCCGATTCAGAGGGGCTTAATCAGTTTTCATCTCTGAGTCGCAACTGAAGTGGGTTTCTTGGAGGGGTTTGCATGCAGACAGAGTAATGACCTCTGGAGAGGAAAGATAACCAAAGAATGCATCTTGTGGTGTGTCAAGGATTTGGCTTGAGAGAGAAAAGGAAATG